CCTGTGGGAGGTGAGGGCAGGGGGGCAGGGGGGGGTACACGGGGGGGTGCGCATTCACATCCCTCACTGTCCCCATCGCAGTTCTCAGCGCTGCGCCGGGAGCTGCCTCCCAGCATCCACCTTCTGACACTGGCCCCTGGGGACGCCGGGACCCTCCTGCTGCGGCTGGAGCATCAATTTGAGAGCGGGGAGAGCAGGAACAGCTCCAAGCCCGTCACCATCGACCTGCTGGTGAGCCACGACCCTCCCCACCCTTTCCCAAGGCTTCCAGAGGTGACCCTACTCCTGCTCCTGGCGTGATTCCCAACATCCTTTCCCTGCTTTCCCAGGACCTGTTCTCAGCATTCACCATCACCTCAGTGCAGGAGATGAGCCTAGGGGGGGACCAGCCCCTCGATGCCATCTCCCGCCTGGTCTGGACCCCGGCCACAGGTACTGCAGGAGGTCTAAGGGGGGGCATGGGGGGGGGGCCGCAGCTTCCCCTCACCCCTTCCCACTTCCCCATAGGTCCAGCCCAGTCACACAGAGTGGCCAAACTGGACCCACGGCGGGTGACACTGCAGCCTATGGACATCAGAACATTCCTGGTGCACTATGAGGGGCCTGGGGCAACTCCAGGGGGGCACTGAGCATCCCAGAGTGGGGTGGGTGTCTCTGTCCTGTGTCCCCCCACAAGTGCATTAAAAACCACACCATTTCCTCAGGCGTTTAATGGGGGCACGAGGCAGTGCCGGGTCTGGGGGGTGCAAGGGGGGGCTCCCCCTCCTGCAAGCAGCAGCCCTGATGGAGGGAAGGAGGGTGAGGGGTGGCAGTGCCCCCCTTGGCTCCCCCCCTTCTTCTCAGACCCCCTTTATTCTGCCCTCTCTGTTCCCAGACCCTCCCTTGTCCCCTATCCTTACTTGTTCTCTGTCCCCCTTGAACCCCTCTTCTTCCCAGACCCCCTTTATTCTGCCCCCACTTTGTTCTCAGACCCCAAATTGCCCCCTGCCCCCCACACCTCCTTGTGCCGTTTGCAGGGGGATGGTTTCAGGTCGGCTCCTTGCAGTCGCTGCCGCCGTTTGTTCTGGAGCTGCTTCCTCTTCTGCTGCAAGGATGGGGAGATGCTGCCCCTGGGGGGGAGCATGAGCCAGGGAGCTGCAGAACCCCCCCAAGGCAGAGCACTGGACCCTTCCCTCCTCCCCGCTTCCTTTAGGGTATCTTTATTCTCCCCCCTGATGGGGGCAGGGGGGGAACATTTTGGCCTTGGCTTGGTTCAGAAGAAGCCCAACCCTCATATGAGACCCCCAAGAAGCTCCTTACCCGGCCTTGGCCCTGGCTTTAGGTCCCCAGAAGGCTTCCGGGTTTTCTGGGAATCGCTTCAAGCCCCTTTTCCTGGAGCTGGGATTGGCGTCGGCACGGATAGCAAAGGAAGCCTGGAGCCTGGGTGGGGAAGAGGGGCTCAGGGCTGGGCTGGGGGTGCTCAGGAACAGTTTTGGGGTGCTTGGGGCTGGTTTTGGGGTCTCAGGGCCAGCTCTGGGGCTCCCTGGGCCTGTTTTGAGATGTTCCTCCCCTCCCCATGGTCCCTACGTGGGCTCCACAGCAAGGATCCGGGCTGCAGGACTGGTGTCTGTGAGCCGCTCGCGTTTCACCGGGTGCAGCCGCACCTGAGGAGGAGGAGGAGGATGATGGGGGGGGGCGGACCTCCAACCCTGCCCCATATTGGGGTGTCCTGGGGGGGGGGGGTCCCCAAGGTGCCCCCCCCTCACCCAGCAGCGCAGGATGTCCCAGAGCACAGCCGGGGGTGCATCCGTCTTCACCGCGGTCCTGCAGGCGTGAGACAGGGAGACGCGGTACCCGGCGTGCAGCAGTGCTGAGCTGGGGGGTGCACACGGGGTGGGGGGAGTCACAGATGGGGTTTGGGGTGGGGGAGTGGATTCGGAGGGGGAGGATGGGGCTTGGGGGTCAGGGATGGGAATGGGGGTGCAGGATTGGATTTGGGGCACGGGATGAGATTTGGGGTGTAGGGATGGGGTTGGAGGGACAGGATAGGGTTTGGGGTGCAGGGATGGGCTAGGGAGGTGTTTTTGTGGTGCCCCCACCTGAACTGCAGCAGTGATGGGGTGTTGCAGTGGATGGTGCTGCTGAGCCCCTCCAGGGTGTAGTACAGGGGCACGTCGCTGAGTTCCTGCCCATGGGGAGCAGACGAGTCAGCCTCAGCGCTGGGAGGGGGGACAGGACTTGGAACCCCCAAATCCCCTCCCGCCAAGTACCTCGGCAATGCCACTGAGCACCCCCTGCATCCGCTCCTGCGTCTGGAAGCGGTGGGGGCTCCGCTCCAGCGCCGCCAGCACCCGCTGCACGAAGGGCACATCGTGGAGCGGCTCAGCCCATATGGGACCACCCAGCTGGGGGGGGACAGGGGTACACGAGGGGTCAGTGATGGGGTATGGGGGAGCACCACAGGGACAGTGAGGGGCCACGGGGGGACACATGCACCCACACTGAGGGGCTGGGGGGGACACATGCGCCCACCTGGTGCCGCTGTTGGCAGAACTCACACGTGGGCCCCACGGGCGGTCCTGTGGCTGCCCCATACTTGAAGCTGGAAGGGAAGAGCTGAGGTGTGAGGGGTCCCCCTTATCCCAGGCTCCCCCCTCATCCCAGGCACACACTGCCCCCCCCCATACCTGTTGCCATGGGCTGTGGCTTTGCCCATGCGCTGGAGGTGGTGGGTGCCGCAGCCGACGCAGTGGTACACCAGAGCCTGCTTGCTGCAGGGGACAAAGCAAGGGGAAGGGGGGTCACAGGGTGCATCCCCCTCACTGTGGTCCCCGCTGCGTCTACCCCCTCACCTCGCTGATGCTTTCACCTTCGCCTGCCCTGTAAAGACCCGCACGAAGACGCGGATGTAGAAGTCAGCACTGACGGCGAGCAGCGGCACGATGAAGCGCTGGTAGCAGTTGGCTCTACTGTCCAGGCTGTGCAGGATGATGCGCAGGGCCTGGCCATGGCGGGGACACGGAGGACATGGGGACAGCCCTGACCTCCCCCCATTGTCCCCACACTCAACAGGGAACCCCCACTCACCATCTCGTGGCAGAACTTGCCCTTGAGGGACACGGCGCCATACTTGCTGTAGGAGGTCTCAGCGTTGTTCCCTGCCAGCACCCCCATGTCCGTGCAAGTCACACACAGTAGCCCTGTGCAAGAGGGGGAAAGGGTTCAGGGGTGCTGCCAGGAGCACCCTAATGGGGGGGGGCCCAACTCACCTCCTTCGCTCACAGCTTGCACAGCAGCATCGAGGAAGTGTGCGGGGCTGCCGTAGGGATCCAGGTCGATCACGTCGAAGGGCTCCCTGTCAGCTTTGCACTGGTACATCAGCATCCTGGGGGGGGAGGAAAAGGAGTGTCCTGGAATCTGCACTGGCCCCCCCTTTTCTCAAACCTCACTATGGGACACAATGGCCCCTTTGAGGATGCTCCAATACGGGACGGGGGGGAGAAACCCGGTGGGGTGGTTCCTGAGGGTGCTTGGGGGGGGTTACCTGGCATCAGCCATACTGGGGGTCACCAGGGTCCCCACCCCATTGAAGGCCACGTTGCGCTCAATTAGCTCCATGGCCCGCGCTGAGCAGTCGTTGGCCACCACAGCCCGAAGCCCCGGCACCTCCTTGGCGAAGCGGATGGAGCGGAGCCCTGAGGCCGCCAGCGCCTCCAGCACCCGCAGCCCCCCCTGCAGACACACAGCACTGCCCATGGGGTGCCATGGGGGGGGACACCCCAATACAGGGAAAAGGGGAATCCCCCCCTGTGCCCAGCACCTCACACACTTCTCCTGCCTTTGCCACCTGCAGGAGGTCGGCACTGGCACCATCACCCTCCTCCAGTGGTTGGGGGCTTCCTGCATCCATGTTCTCTTCCCCAGGTACGACAACTGGAAAAGGAGGGATTGGGGTGACGGATTCTCTTCCCCCACACCGGGCAAAGGGGGGGCCTGGGGATGGGGAGCCCAAGGTGGTACCTACCCAAGCGGCACCTATCACAGTGGTACCTACCCCGGATCCCCTTTGGCTGCAGGAGGAGCCGAGCGAATTCCGTTAGCACAGCGCAGCTGAAGGGGAAGTGATGTCAGGAGGGGGGAGGGGGCAGAGTAGGGATCACCCCAAGACCCCCATGGGGTACCCCCAAGACATCCCAAGACCCCCCCCCGACCCTCCTGAGATACCCCAGAGCTTCCCCTGGCCCCGCTCACGTCAGGTCCCTGTTGAAGCCCTGCACCGGGTTGTAGAAGACCTCGTTGGCGCTGGGGAAGAGGATGGTGGCTTGGCCCTCAGAGATCAGCGTCTCGCCGGCCCGGGGGGAGCCCTCAGGGGCCGGGGGGGACCCGGAGCCGTTGGGGGAGGCCCCGTCCATGGCAAACCGGCGACGGAGGGGGCCCGGGATGCCTCGTTGAAGGGTCCTGAAGGCGGCTGCTGCTGGTGGGGGGAGTTAACGCAGGACGGGAGGGGACACGGACATGGAGCCCCCAAAGGGGCCACAGAATGGGACCGAGGGGTGACTCCCCCGGCAACCACGTGGCGCGGGACAAGGCCTCGGGTACTGGAACCCGAGCCCCCCAGGCCACGCCCCCTTCAGACCACGCCCCTTCAAGGCCCCCCCCCCTCCCCCTCCCACCACCACCCCCCTCGTTGCTCCCCCTCTCCCGGTTCTCACCTGCCCCGCGCATTCTCCGCGCCGTAGCCCCCCTTCACATGGGCGCTGCCATGTTGCGGCGGTCACGTGACCGTAGGCGGACGGCACCGCGGAAGGGTCATAAGACCTTGGCCTCCCCTGGGAGGTGGTGAGGAACCTAGAAGGAAGACCCCGGCATGTTTCTGCGGGAATTCGGCCCGGGAGGCCCCGGTTGATCCCGCGGAGGGGGTCGGGGTAAGCAGCTCTGCCTATTCCCGCTGCCAGCCGTGTTCCTAGTGGAGAAGGGTGGGAGAGGGGAGGAAGGGGAGTGGGTATTCGGCGCTCGGCTGGTCGTGCCTGCGCACGCGCGGGTGCCGCGCCGGGCGGTGCGGCGCTCGGCTGATCGCGCCTGCCGCACAATGAATGGCCGCTGAGCGCGGCGGGGACCCGGACGGGCACCGGGAGCGGCACCGGGAGCGGCCGGAGCCGAGGCTGAGCCCCCCCCCGCCCTCCGGTAAGGCGGGAACCCCCCCCTCCCCTGGCCGCGCATCCGCCGCTCCTCCGCTCCCGTTCCCCGGAACCTGTGGCTCCCCACCCCCTTCCCCGCAACCGGTCGCCATCCCCCCCCCCCCTCCCCCAGGCCTCGGGGTCCCTTCTGCCTCCAGCCCCATCTTTTGGTGCTTCCCCGTTCCCCCTCCAATACCCCCCCTTGTGGGTGCCCCCCCCCCCCCCCCCCCCCAAGGCTGGGGGTCTTCTCTGTCTCCAATGTAGGGAGCGGGGTGTGTCCCTCCCCGTTCTGCCCGGGTTTGGGGTCTCCCGGTGCCACCCCCCCAAGTGTGGGGCCCGTTCACGTGGGAGGATCCCATCACGCCCCTGCCTAAAGGGCGGCTGTGCCCGTGCCACCCCCCCCGACACCTCCAAGTGCTGGCGACCCCCTTGGCCTGAGCACCCCCATGTCCTCAGGCTTAGAGAGCCCTGACAGTCCCCATGGCCAAGGTGGGGTCGCCTCACCCAGCTCCTGGGGTGCCCCCACCCCTTAACCCCCTGTTTTGGGTGATCTCCAGGACCCCTCCCCCTCCGGGTTGTTCCTGGGGTCCTGAGGGAGGATCTGGGCTTACCTCCCATGGGCTGACTCGTGCCTGGTCTGTGTCTTGTCCCTTCTCTGTCCCCATCCCCTTGTGCCCTGTCCCCCCTCATGTGTCTGCCCTTCTCCATGTGTCCATTTGTCTGTCCCCTACTCTGCTTCCTGGGTCCCTGTTCCCACATGTCCCCCATCTCTGGCCCTCTTCCCTCTGTGTCTGTGTTCCTGTGTGTCTCCCATGTGTCCCTGTCCCTATGTGTCCCCCATATCTGCTTTGCTTCTTATGTACCTATGTCCCTACATGTCCCCTGTCTGTCTCCCTCCCTTCTGTACTCGTGTTTCCCATGTCTGCCCCGTGTCCCTGTCCCTGTGTGCCCCCACATCTGCCTTGCTCTTTATGTATTCGTGTCCCTGCATGTCCTCTGTGTCTGCCCTCATTCTCTCGCTCCCTGTGTCTATGTCCCTACATATCTTTGTCCCTCTGTGTCCCCCATGTCTGCCTCGCTCCTTATGCATCCGTGTCCCTACACATCCCCTTGTGCCTGCCCATGGCCCCGTCCCCGCAGGCTCCCGTTGGCTCCCGCCATGGCTCAGACACTGCAGATGGAGATCCCCAACTTTGGGAACAGCATCCTGGAATGCCTGAATGAGCAGCGGCTGCAGGGGCTGTACTGTGACGTGTCAGTGGTGGTGAAGGGCCATGCATTCAAGGCTCACCGCGCTGTGCTGGCCGCCAGCAGCTCCTACTTTCGGGACCTTTTCAATAGCAGCAAGAGTGCGGTGGTGGAGCTGCCGGCCGCCGTGCAGCCCCAGTCCTTCCAGCAGATCCTCAGCTTCTGCTACACGGGCCGGCTTAGCATGAACATGGGGGACCAGTTCCTCTTGATGTACACTGCCGGCTTCCTGCAGATCCAGGAGATCATGGAGAAGGGGACTGAGTTCTTCCTCAAGGTCAGCTCGCCCAGCTGTGACTCGCAGGGGCTGCACGGCGAGGAGGCTCCTTCCTCTGAGCCCCAGAGCCCCGTGGCTCAGACCTCGGGCTGGCCCTCGGGCGCCGCTGCGTTGCCACTGGTGTCACGGGTGAAGACGGAGCAGGGGGAGCCCGACGGGGTGCAGTGCACCTTTGTGGTCAAGCGCCTTTGGGACGGTGGCTCAAAGGATGGCACCGCCGGCGGCAACGGCAGCCGGAAGATGGCCAAGTTCTCCGCGCCAGAGCTGGGGCGGCAGCCGCAACCCGCAACCCCCACAGCAGGACCAGCACCGGCCCTGGTGGCACCGGCCCCGGTGGCTCCTGGGCCAAGCGCTGCTGATCAGACCAGCCCCGGGGGCACATCCAGCGCCTACACGAGCGACAGCCCTGGCTCCTTCCACAACGAGGAGGATGAGGAGGAGGACGGGGGGGAGGAAGGCTCGGACGAGCAGTACCGCCAGATCTGCAACATGTACACCATGTACAGCATGATGAATGTGGGGCTGGCAGGTGAGGCTCCGCCCACCAGGGGGCGACGCCCATTGGCTGCGGCCTGGCGAGTCTCCGCCCATATGGTGGGAGAAAGGGGGCGTGGCCTGGCCTGGTGAGGCTGCATCCGTTGGGACTGTAAGAGGTCGTGATCACGTTAGCCCCTCTATTGTGGGTGTGGTCTAGTAGGGCTCCGCCCACAAGGCACACCCAGCCAGTGGGACGGGGTTTCCGGGGGAAGTGGGTGGGGTTACCCCCAGGGTCACGACACTGTAGGCATGTCTTGTCGCTAAGGGTGGCGAGAGGGGCACACGAGGTGTCACGACTGCTTCCACAGAGGTTGTGGGAGGGGGGTGGGTGCCTCTGGGTTTTGGACCCCACTGACCCTATCCTTGTATCCCTCCCGCAGCCGCAGAGAAGGTGGAGGCGCTGCCGGACCAGGGCACATCTGAGCCACGCACCCGTGTGCGCGTGCGGCAGGACTTGGCCTCGCTGCCGGCCGAGCTCATCAACCAGATCGGGAACCGCTGTCACCCCAAACTCTACGACGAGGGGGACCCTGCCGAGAAGCTGGAGCTGGTCACAGGTACACCCAGAGGGCCCCATGGGGAGTGGAGAGTACGGGGGTCCCTACTGGGGGCCTGGCCCTGCTCACCCCATGTGTGTGTGTCCCCTAAAGGCACCAACGTGTACATTACACGGGCACAGTTGATGAACTGCCACGTCAGCGCGGGGACACGGCACAAAGTCCTTCTGCGGCGGCTCCTGGCGTCGTTCTTTGACCGGTAAGTTGGGTCCCAGCACCCAGTTTTGGGGTCTCTATGGAGGTTGAGGGGGGTGGGTGCTCAGGTTCTAACCCTGGTTTTCATCCCTTCCTTACCAGTAACACCTTGGCCAACAGCTGTGGCACCGGCATCCGCTCGTCCACCAATGATCCCCGGCGGAAGCCGCTGGACAGCCGGGTCCTGCATGCTGTCAAGTGTGAGTGGGGGGACAGGGAACAACCCAAGAGACCAGGACTAGGCGGAGCCCCAGGGAGAGATGAGCAGAGGACTCAAACAATGAAGAGGGGGAGCTCAGGGTTGGGGAGCCTACAGGAACGGGGGGGGGATCAGAGGGTGGAGGAGACCCTAGGGAGAGGGGACACAAGGGTAATAGGCAACTGGGGACCCTAGGCCTGGGGGGATCCCACAGATGGACCCCAGGAGCTGCCAGTCACCCCCGTTGTGTGTGTTCCCCCCCAGTTTACTGCCAGAACTTTGCGCCCAACTTCAAGGAGAGTGAGATGAACGCCATTGCCGCTGACATGTGCACCAACGCGCGGCGCGTGGTGCGCAAGAGCTGGATCCCCAAGCTCAAGCTCCTGAGCGCCGAAGGTGATTCCTACACATCATTCATCAACGAGGCCGGGAAGCTGGAGCCTGACATCATGGGCCCCGAGCCTGGCTTCGATGCTGGTGCCCACGAGGGTGAAGCGGGAGCCCCCAGCGAGGGGCTGCAGTGACCCCCTTCCAACCCTCTGGGGACACCCCACTGCAGTGGGGAGCCCCCTCCTGCCAGGTGGGGACCCCAGCATAAGGTAGGGATCTCCCTGCCAGGTACAGACCCTGTCACTAGGTAGGGAACCCTCTAACAGGTTGGGACCCCATAACCAGGTAGGGGACCCCATCACTAGGTAAGGAACCCCCCCCTCCAGGTAGGAGCCCTGTCCTAGCTAGGGCACCCCCCACCAGGTAGGGCCCCCATAAGCAGGTCAGGACCCCATCAATAGGTAGGGGAGCCCCCTCTGTAGGTGGGGACCCTTGGCCAGGTAGAGGACCCCCTGCCAAGTAAGGACCCCATCACCAGGTAGAGGACCCTTCCCTCCAGATAGGGTCCCCCTTGTAGTACTGCCCTGTGGTTATGTGGGAACCCCCACCCAGTGGGCACCCGCATTGGGGATGACCCCTTTCATGGTGGAGGTATCCATGTGGTTGCAGGGCCCCCTCCTCCCAGGGGGTCTGTGTCATCCCCCCTAGGGGCAGGGACCCCCCATCCCACCCCATGGTGCTGCTGAGGGGTGTGGTTGTCCCGTCCCCTCCCCCCCCCCCCGGAGGGCTTGGGGCTTTTGGGGACGGGGTGGCAACAGCTAAGGCCATTGCCTTCCCCCCGCCCAGCAGTTTTGGGGGGTTTGGGAGGGCTGGGGCTTTTATCTTGCTCAGGCATCAGATTTAAGGTCCCATGTCCCTCTCCAGGTGCCCCATGTAGCCTCTGGGGTCTCTCCCCTGTCTACCCCCACCCAGGGCTGACATTTCTCCATATGTCCCTTCCATGGGGCCACCGTCTCTGCAGGCAACCGCATGTGTCCCCCCATGTCCCCTCCCCCAGTTGGGGACCAGTGTCTCTCTGGGTGTCCCCCATCCCCCCCCCCGCAATGTCCTCCCAGCATGTGTCCCCCATGTCCCTGTGTCCCCCCCCCTCCATGGGGCCAGAGTCTCCAGGTGACCACGTGTGTCCCCCACTTGTATGTCTGTCCCCTGGGGGAGGGCATCTCTGGGTGTCTGTGTTTTGTGTACCCTCTTCCCTTGTCCCCAGCTCCTCCCACCCTGTCAGAAAGGGGGGTGTCCCCTGTCATCCTGCCCCAGCTGGACAGGGCAGGGCTGAGCCTGTGTGTGGGGACCCCCCAGTGGGGATGGGATCCCCACAACCTGCCCTGAGGAGCAGTTCCCCCTTCATTACTCTGTACTGGGGGGGTGACACCCCCATGTAACCCCTGGGGGGGTGATTTGGGGGAGGGGTACAGGTTGGAATCCCACCTCTGTTAAGGGGGGACACACAGGAGACCCCCCCACCCCCCTGCAAGGCTTTGCACCGGCTCTGAATGGGGAAACTGAGGCACAGTTTGGCAGGCCCCCCCCCCCTTTTGTGTAGATGTGGGGCTGAGGGGTAACCCAGGCATCCTGTGGGCCCCTACCCAACCCCAGCGCCCCCCCAACAGGTCTCCTGACGTTCGGTCAAGTGCCTTACCTGCTGCCCGGCCCCCCTGGGCCCTGCTCACAGCTCCATTACCGCACCGCTCTGTGCCAAACCCCCCCAGCACCGGGGCGGGGAGGGGGGGGGACATACACAGGGACACCCTCCTCGGCCCTCCTCCGCCTTCCCCTCCCCCAATGCCTGGGTTGTTCCTCCCACACACACCCCTCCCTTGCTGCGCCTCAGTTCTCCCCTTTCCATTGTGTGATGAGTTGCACCGGGTCGCAGCCCTGCAGGGGTGCCCCCCTCCCTTTAACTAGGGGGGGTCCCTTCCTCACTGGAGGGGTCCCCTTTTCACTAATGGGGGGGGTCAGGCTTATCTTTCCTCCCCTCTTCTTTCCGTTTTCCAACCCAGAAGCTGTACAGAAACGGGGAGCATGGACCCCCCCCAGCCCGGGCTTGTGCTTCCCCCCTCCCCACCGACACCCCCCAACCCCCCGGGGGGGGGTCACCAGTGTCTGTCCTGTGTTATGAAGTGCCAAGAGGCCCCTTTACCCGCCGCCCCCCCCCCCCCCCCCCCGGAGTCGCTGGAGAATTGCACATGAACTGCTGTAGGAGAGCGGCGAGGGGCCGCGGCGTGTTAATAGTGACAATAAAACACGAGAGGTTTGATAACACCCCGGCACGTGCGCTGGTGGGGGGCACGGGGGGGCGGTGCTGCAGGGGCGCGGCCACGCCCCCTTGCCATATTTGGCCAGGCGGAAGCAGACAGTACCCGGGCTCGCGCGTGCCCCGTCTTCCGTGAAGCTCCTCCCCTTTGCTGTCGTCCCCTTATATAGTCATGGAAACTGCGCGCCGTGACGTCACGGGGAGGGGGGGTTCCCGTGTAACACCCGCTCTTACACACACCCCCCGGGCTGGCCCGGTAACCATGGGGCGGGATGCAGGGACTCCCCCATGTGGGTACAGGGCCCCCCTCCATGGGGTCACAGGGATCCGCCTCCATGAGTCACATGGACCCCCTTCCATGGGTCACAGGGACCCCCCTCCGTGGGTCACAGGGACCCCCCCACTGGCACCGCGCCGTGTCGTTCCCACCCACCCACACCCCCCCCCCGGGGTATTTCCGCCGCTCCGGGGCCGGATGCGGAGCCGGGGCGGGGGCAAGCGGCGTTACAAGAGCCCCGCGGCGAGGGCGGCCCCGGCGCACTCCGGTCCCGGCGGCGCCATGGAGGAGGCGCAGCGGCTGCTGACCGTGTCCGTGTGGAAGCTCTACCGGTGCCGGCTGCAGCGCGGCGGCCTCCGCCTCCACCAGAGCCTCCAGCTCTCGCTGCTCGTCCGCGCTGCCCGGCACCGTTACCTGGCCGCCCGCGCCGCCGCCGAACAGGGATCCACCGCGGGGAACCCCCTGGGGATGGCTCCCGGGGACCCGCACCGAGAAGATCCCCCGAGAAGACCGAGTCCGGACCCCCGCAGCCCCCGAGACCGGGAGGACCCAGCGAGCCCGGACCCCCGCAGTCCCCGAGACCGGGAGGACCCAGCGAGCCCGGACCCCCGGAGCACCCGGGACAGGGAGGATCCAGCGAGCCCGGACCCCCGGAGCAACCGGGACCGGGAGGACCCAGCGAGCCTGGACCCCAGCAGCACCCAGGACCTCTCCCAGGACCAGCACCGGGACCAGCCCCAGGCCTCCCCGAGCCGGTACCGCTCTCAGACGAGCTCTCCGAGGCCGCCACTGCCTCCCCGGGACCCTTCGAGCGCTCCCTGCTCCTCGCCGCCGCCTGAGCCCGGTTCCCCCGGAGCTCCTCCAGTCGCACGGGTCGGGCGCAAACGGCAGAGCAGCGGCTCAACCGGTGCCGGGCCGGTCCTGGCGCCGAGTAAACGGTCGCGGCTGGAGGCTGAGAAGCCTCCGCTCGCTCCGGGGCCGCCCGGTCGGTGCTCGGGACCGCCCGCCGCTGCTTTTGCCTTCCTGGTCCGGGCCGTCGGGGCGTGCTGAGCCCCCGCTGCGGACCCTCGGACTCTCGTGGCTCCCGGTGGGCTTCCCCTCCCGGTAACGCCTCCTCTTCCCATGGCCGTGCCGTGCTGGAGGGGATTCCAGGCTGGTCCTGATTCCCAACCCTCACTCCCCCCCCCCCCGAATTGTGTTTAGTTACTATTTTGTTAATTAAATAAAGTGGTTTCTGTGCAGCCGCCGCCTGGGGGGGTTCCCTGTGATACCCCACATGGGGGGGCAAAGGAGTGTCGGGGGGGGCAGGATACGGGGAGAATCCCCCCCACCCCCCCTTTCCCTGTTCCGGGAAGTTCCACGTGCTGCCCATGCGGGGGAGGGGAGCGCGCCCGGATGTGCGGGGGAGGGAAGGGGGAGGTTGGGGCAGGCTATTCCCCCTCACCCCCCACCCCCCCCGCCGAATTCTGGTTCCGGTGCTTCCTGGTTGCTAAGGGAGGGGGGGTCAACACAGACCCAGTGCCCCCTCCCCCCCAACCCCTCCTGTGCAGCCCCCGGGGCCCGATCCCTGGAAGGAGCGAGAAGGGCTCGATCCAAAATTCCTCTTGTTTTAATGGTTCCGTTCGGGGTGGGGGGGAGGGGATCGGGGGTCGTTTTTTGTCTCTTGTTTTTTCTCTTTATTTCTTGGATTCGGTAACTCGGTTCATGCAATTGGCGGCAGCTCCGGTCCCTCGGGCGGGGATGTGGAGGGGGCGGTGCCCGGTGCCCCGCCCGGAGCCTCCCCCAGGCTTCGGTTCCCGCTTCCCACCGCCCATTCCCGCTCCTCCCGGTGCGGGGTTTAGGGGGCGGGGGGGTCCCGGTTCCGCCCCCGGTGGTGGCGGCTCCTCCAGATGATAAAACTCATCCATAGCCCCGGGAGCGAGCGCCGGGTCTCGGGGGGGTGTTTGTGTGTGCCGTCTACACCCGCTCCCCGCCGCCCTATGTCGCGGCGCTCTGTCGCGATAGATCGTCGGAGGCGCCGCTAGCAGCAGTCATCGTCCGTTTCGCTGTAGGGGTCGCGGAGACCGGGCCGTCCCTTCCCGGTGCCGTGCCCCGGGTAGTAGCCGTTGGGCAACCGCCGGCCGGGCCGGGGTGGGGACGGTCCCGGTCGTGTCCCCCCCGCTCCGCCGCGGCCGCCGGGCCGGGGGCCCCGAGGGACGCGTCCGTCGAGAGCCGGGTCGGGGTCGCGGGGGGGGTCGGTCCATCGCGGGGAGGCGGCGGCGGGCGGCGGCGGGCGGCGGGGCCCGCGGGCGGGGGGGGCGGCGGCGGGCGGGGGGCGGCGGGCGGCCGGGGAGAAGGAGACGTGGGGCCGCGGCGTGGCGGGGGTCGGAGGGAGCTGGCGGCGGGCGCGGCGGGGGGTGCTGGTCCCGGAGGTGGAGAGCACCGGGCTCCCGCTGACCGAACTACTGCCCTACAGCAACACCGAGACACCGGGGTGACCGCGGGGGACCGGGCAGGACAGCGGGGCACGGACACAGGGGACAGGGACGTGGGGACATGGCCATGGGAAAGGATATGGGAGGGTGACCACGAGCATAGGGGATGGACGTGGGTGAAGATGAGGCGCACGGACGCAGGACATGAGAGCGTGGACCGGTCATGGACATGGTTGCAGGAACACGAATGACACGTACGGACATGGGGGACATGGACACACGGAGGAGGCATGGACATGGGGGGCAAGGGCAAAGATGGATTGGACACAGGGGTTGAAGGGGACAACACGAGGAATGGGGGGGCACAGGCATGGGGGGCGGGGCATGGATGGGAAGAAATTGGGCCCAGGGATGTGGACACGGGAAGGACACAGGGAACACGGACATGAACAGCGGGGGAGCAGCCACGGGTTTAGGGGGCATGGACACAAGCAGAGACATGGGGGAGGGGGTCACAGCCACCAGCCATGCAGACACGGGGGCGGCAGACAGGGATAAGGGGGCAAAGCAGTGAGAACATTGGGGGAGAACATAAACGAGAGAGCAGAGGGGAAGAGAAGTGAGAAGAGGTGGGGAGGGCTATGGGGGGCAGAGGGGAGTGGGGAGAAGGGGAGGGATATGGGGGGGCTGCCGGCTCCCGCCAAAGCCACTCGCAAAGCAGGAGGGGGGAAGATGTTGGGGCTCAGCC